TACACATACAGATATGTGTATATATATATATATACACGGTCTAGGGTTTGGGGTTAAGTAACTTAATTTACGTCACTACTCCCTCCTCAGAGAACGTATCCCTTAACCCCAAACTGTATAGTTTGGGTTTATGACTTCAATACTGCCCACTCATTAACAGTTGGATTTTCATGAGGCAGCTATTATACATAGCCCTTAATATGATCCCGGTTATTGTCAATGGGTAGGGGCAGGACCCAAATTATAAGTGGAGAAGGCTCAACCTTCATGTGGAACCAGCCAGGAGCCCTTGCACCAGGGCTGCAGATTCCAGATAGCCCAAAGTGCTAAAAAACCCTAAACCATGACCTCAGGGTCCGGACTAGGTATGATTCAGTTGGGTTTAGGGCCCCAAAGTATTTGTTATTCAAAGACTATAGGAACTAAAGCTGGTATTATTCAGGGAGGATAGGACGCAAGATCTATAGACTTGAAGAGCTCCAGGGTATGCGTCCTAAGCATGTTGGCATTTATGGCAAGGCCGTTGCAGCAGAGAGCTTCCCTTTCAGGTGGCTTAAGCGAAGGATAAGGGATCTAAGTGCCCAACCATCACGGATTTAGGTACCATGCAGGGAAATAAACTCTACACCCCTGGGATTCAAATTGTGGCTTCATGGTACTGAACGGAGTTCGTTTAGTTTCGGGTCATTTCCGGTCCTGCCTTTAGGTGATTTCATTGTTTTGGGTGTAGGGGTCAGGGTGATATGGTCCTTGAAAAAGTCTCCCAAAGTTGCTGGGTCCAACAGACTGGTCTCACCCTACTTGAACCCCTTGAAGCCAATCTGCTAGTCCATCCCCCGACCCGTCACCATGAGCGGCAGCAAGTCAGACCCCACATGGCATCAACACTTGAGCTCGTAGCAAAACCTGTATACTTATGTATACATGCTTGATATGGGGATTATTCCCCTAGTAGAATATGAGGAAGTATATCGGGATTACATGAGCGTTATTTACCCTAAACCCTAAACCCTAAACCCTTCTGGGGTGAATATGGGAATCTGATTCTTTTAGATCCAGCCAAGGACTTGCAAAGTGCATTTTCCTTGACAGGGCTTCCCACTTTCAGTGTTCCAAGAATTAACCCAGACCCTGGACCCTAAACTCGAACCCCTAAACCCGAGACCCTAGACCTTGACCGAGGTGTCAAGGGTGGGGTTGATCTTACCTGCGACCAGAAGCCTTGTTTGCAGTCAAAAAAGATTACCTTCAGGGTTGGTTTCAGGGTTTAGTCAGTTGCCGTGCTGGCAGCACGTTGCGCGTGCTGAAAACTGAGGTTTAAAGGACAATCGGAACTCAAGAGGAGCCCGAGTTCAACTTTAGCATTTTTTGCTGCCACATGTTTTGCGCATCTTGGTTCTAGGAATGTTGAAGTTAATTAGTGAAACGGTTAAGGTGTCGGCATTTAGGGTCTGTGGATTGGCGTCTTATTTAGACTACATATATATATATATATGTAAATTGAATGAGTTTTGTTGATCCTGCACACCATGACCAAGGAACCTTCTATGAATCGCCCCCGCACTTAGTGAGGACAAACTAGCCTGCAATTTTGTGCCTGGGACACGCAAACTCTACACCATATCATATTTCACTTATACCGGTTACGTTGTCATGTGTGGCAATTCTTGGTTACCCGTATTGATCTCATTATATAGTGTTAGCCGCAAGGTTTAAGGTTCAGGTTTGGATTTTTGCCGTTTATTGCGCGGGCTCAACAATATTAAGGGTTGCCCGGGTTAAGCCTATAGTCCCCCTTAAGTAGATAGAATATGGGGTATATGGCGATCTTATTATTCAATACCCAACGCTATATTCTATCTACTTAAGGGGCACTACCCCCAAACCCGAAACCCTATATTCTATCTACTTAAGGGGGACTATACCCCTAAAGCCTAATCCCTACTATAAATCCTAAACCCTCATGCCATGCTCTAGGCGCTGCATTCGGCGACCCAACCCCGTAGCTGGCCTTTGGTTAGCTAGGAATGAAGGAATGGATCCTTATAGTGGTTTAGGGTTTAGAGAGGGTTTAGGGTTTAGGGTAGTACCGCATATAACCCATTCTAGTAATAGTAGCCATTGTCTTTTTCATTCCTTCTACACCCTAGACACTCTAGTAGCTTCCATGTTCTTTTCCATTCCTTCATTCCCAGCTAGCCAGACGCCGGTTAATTACACAGACGGCCGACTTGCAGGAACTTCTTAGCATCTTTTGGAGGGTGGATATATCTGGCAAACAGAAGCGCTTGAAATTGGCTTGGCCCCCCAAGATGGGCAGCCCGCCCCCAAAAAACAAGGGCTTAGGGTTTCGGGGGGCATGTATGTTCGGATACCCCTATTTATGGCAATCAGCAAATGGGAATTAGCTCAAGTTCCAGGGTTTTCTAGCCTCTGCAGAACACGCCGGCCAGATATGAGTTTCCCTGCTCTAGTCAGCAAACCCCCGCACCCCTAGACCTATCAAATCCCATCGTAGCATATGGTAGTTTCCCAAAATGGGGGGACCCCAACATAGACCCTAATATACTATAGTCCTTATTATGGGGACCCCCAAAAGGTACCCCTAATTTAGGGAAAGTCCCATATAACCACTTTCAACTGTACCTGCAACCGAAGGACTTCTGAGCCATTAAGTCCCCGAGTACGGTTATAACGGGGAGGTAAGAACAGCTTAAAGCCTAAACCCTACCCTAAACCCCGCTGGGTTGCTGTTAAAGAATTCAAGTTCAACTACCATGTTTTCGGTATATCGCAAATACTAGGGTTTCCCTATCATAGTAACCTGGGTAGGCCCCTGAGATATTTACTATTTTCCCTAATGGCTTTAAAAAGGGACCCTACATACTAATATATTTCAAAGGGTTTTAGGGGCCAACCCAGAGTAACTTCGTTCAAGTTCCTTAGCAGCTTCCTTATCCCTAAGGGTCCAAGTACCTAATAATCATATACTCACCCAAAGCCCAAAACCAATACCACAATTTCTATTACCCAAAACCCAAGTACCTAATTATTGGGTACATGGACCCTTTGGGTAACAGCATATATCCCTTTTTAAAGGGACTTAATTATTGGGTACATGGACCCTTTAGGTAACAGCAACCCAGTAAACCCTACCCAGGGAGCTATAAGAGCAGCTCTGCACCACTTGGATGGCACAAGGGGTTTGGGCTTTGAACCCTCATGATTGAACCCATGGGTTTAGGGTTGAGGGTTTAGGGGTTTGGGGTTTAGGGGTTTAGGGTTTAGGGTTTAGCGGTTTAGGGGTTTAGGGTTGAACCCATGGCGTGGAGGGGTAACTTTACTGGCCTTTGCTTAGCTAGGAATGCAGGAACGGATCCTTATAGTAGTCCCTATATAAACCCAAATAGCAGTTTCCATGTTCTTTTCCATTTCTTCATTCCCAGCTAGCCAAAGGCTAGATTAGGGTGTAGGGGGACTGCTAGAGGAACGATTCGGTTATACCTGGATTATGTTGGGTCGGCAGACTTGAGGTTACAACATTTGGACAACGTTTGAGGTGCGCCCCTTGACTGTTGAACTGCAGAAAAATGTCGGAGACTTGGGTATAGGGAGGTTAACAATTAGGGGATGAAGGGGCAAGTGGAGGAGCGCGCAACCCCTAAATCCTAAACCCTCGACATCGATTCTCCGAGCTTTCCCCAATGACCCTGCTGCTCAAGTTATGGCCACAGTAACATACAATTTTCACCTGTGCGTCTTGTTTGAGGCTTAGTCATGCACCTACCTGTTACATGGCATGGGTCCCAGACCAAACTGCTTAGACTGCCTGACCAATGGAAATTTGGTTGTAGTTTGCGAAAGGAGAGACGCGGGACTAAATCCCTGCCAGCTGACCCACTCCCAAAAGCCTCCGCCCTGTTCAGGGTGCCTCGCCAGAAATGTCTTCTTGCAACGGGCCCAATAGCTTAAGGTTTAGGGTTTAGAGTTTAGGGGTTTACGGGTTTAGGGTCTAGGGTTTAGGGTTTAGGGTTTCTGTAGCTTGTGGTTTTCGGGGTCCAGGCTACAGACCTAGTCCAATCCTAGATAAAAGTCGTGTAGGTGATTTGAGGAACAGAGCCTGCATAGAGGATCTAGCAGATTCCGCCGGGGGAGCTGTTTGATTTGGCGGTTTTAGACTGCAATCCTACTTTACGTAATGTCCCTCGGCCCCCCTGATAGTAAGTAATTATCCCTAGTGGTATACGATGAGTATTGGGAACATCTACTAGGGGGTTGGCGGAATGTAATTGCAAGCGGATGTGATTTGAAGGATTTAGGGTTCGGGGTATTCCATACCAAAGTACCGGCTGAAAGATTATTGCATTCCCTCACTCATAGGTTTTGTGTAGCGCGGGGCTCATGCAGTTCTCTTTTATATAACCCATTATAGTTTCCATTTTCCTTTCCATTAATCC